GCAGAAAATATAACAACAGGGATTTCTCAACAGCAAGAGGCACTCTCCAAGGGAGTAAATTGTCAACTATTGCCTCTCGTGAGAAACTTAAGAGTAACCTTGATCCAATCTCAATAGTCAACCTATGTATTATCACCCAGTTGAGGCATAGTGAGTGCATTTCCTAATACAAAAATAAGATGGTATTCTATCAGAACCCACTGAACATACACACACACACACACACACACACACACACACACACATATATAAACAAAATTTTAATAATTTTGAGGTAAACTTAGCCTAAGAATCTGAAAACATCTTTATCTTACTTCAGCTAGCCCCTAAAATCATCTATATATTTCTTGTGTAAAAAAAAAAAATAGGGCCCATGCCATGTGTTGAAAAGGATGACTGTAATAAGGTAGATCATAAAGCAGAACTGCAATTGCAAAAGCCATTTATTCTCTAATGGTGATCCATAATGCAGTAAAAGACTTACAATCAGGAAGACACAGGCTCAACTTAAATAGCCACTTGTTCTCCTTTACCTCCTTGAACCTTAGCTTTCTCATCTGCAAAACACAACACTACTACATGTCAAAGGACTCTTGTGTAGTTTTGATATGATGATGCCCAAAACAGCTCTTAACACACCATCATTATTCAATACATGTACTTCCCTTCTATGTCCTAAGGAACATTTCTGAGATAAGGCTGCAAAGAGAAGTGACTTCAAATATCATGACATTTGTTTCATGTCACAAGTAGATGTATACTGATCAATACAATAGTCACTCTCCTCATATTATCCATTCAAATTTAAACTCATTTTATTCAAAAGTACATAAATCTAAAAAAACATGTTCCTCATCTAATCACAATAACGAACAATGAAGTGTTCCCCAGCCACTTGTGGCAAGAGGCTATTGCACCTAGATAGTACAGACAAAAAATCATTTCTCGCCGGGCAGTGGTGGCACACGACTTTAATCCCAGCACTTGGGAGGCAGAGGCAGGCAGATTTCTGAGTTCGAGGCCAGCCTGGTCTACAGAGTGAGTTCCAGGACAGCCAGGGCTATACAGAGAAAACCTGTCTCAAAAAAAAAAAAAATGTTTAAAAAAATCATTTCTCTATCTTAAAATAAAAGTTCTGCTGGACAGAGTTGCTAAAGCCAACATTGTCCTGAAAGTGCCAAGTGTGGCTTTGCAGGCCACATAAGACTTTATCCTGACCATTCAGCTCTTCAACATAAATGAACAAGCTTGGCTCCACTTCAATAGAACCTTAGTTACAAAACACAGTAACAGGTTAGACCTGGCCTATAAGCCAGCATGTCAAACATCACTCTAGAGTTTTCTGAGTCCAGACAACCAGTATTACCACTGTATACTATGTTTACAATTAAGTAGTCTTAAATTCACTAAAAGAAAACAATATCTTAATGTACTTGACTGAATTTAATATTTAATATAACCATACTTTTACAGATTATAAAAAAACCTCTACACAAAGCATTAAAGTAGATGAACTTAAAATGTTCATAAAGTGTTAGCACTTAATGGTAATTGGTCTATAATCCCCAAGTAAGTATGTAACTTCAGCCATGACATAGTCCATATGAACTCATATGCCCAAAAACCTATTGAAAAATGCATAGAGATCTATTACCCAAAAAGACAACATAGTGAAAATGGAACTCTTGATCCCTGTTTTCTCCTTCAGTAAAAATAAAAGGTTCTGTTGGCTATTCTTCTCATTTCTACCTTTCTCTCACATTACACACTAAACACATAAAAATTAGCTCCCTAAACCAATCTAAGCCTAAGCTAGCCTCCAGATAGTTAAGGTCAACACCACCTTAATTATCTGAAGCACATTAACTTCTAACATCATTCTAGGCATTTTTATACTTATTCACTTGTTTTCCAAAACTATACTCTCATCACTCAGGTCCTCTCTCACTTCCCTTCTCCCACCAGTCTGGATCAAATATAAGCTTTACATAATACTTCACATTCAATCTTTATTGCCTACAGGAAGTCTGGCATATAGACATTCAATAACTGTACGTGGTGTGTGTGTGTGTGTGTGTGTGTGTGTGTGTGTGTGTGTGCACATGCACACTCGTATGCACACACGTACACAGAGAGAGATGGAGAGAGGAAGGCAGGACTAACAAGTGAATTCTTAACTTACTCTAAAGAAGAAATATTTGAAACTATAAAAACTAGGTAAAAAACAGCTCTCTCATATTGCAACATTTACAAATATGAATTCTATTTTGCAATTTACCTCCCTTCCTTTGTATGTCACCAAAGCAGCCAGTGGTTTAGCATAAAATCTGCTGTACGAAAATCCCAGGCAACCATACATACTGTTCGCTGTGAGCTTCAAAGCCTTCTGTCGGATATCATACTGCAGGCCAACAAAGACAAAAGATATACAATACCTGTAGATGTTTAAAAATTACATTGGATACCTTTTTAGACCACAATGAGGAAAATCTCTCAATGTTGGGTGGTGGTGGGAATACTTAATATTCAACCTGTTGTCCTGCCCTCTTAGAAGTAAGTACACAGATCCCAAATTTCCCAAGATTCTCTTAGAGCTATAGAATCCTTCCCTTCTGAAGCAGTCTAATGCTTATGAATGGATATTATCCAAAATAAAATAAGCACATACACTTGCCCACACCATACTATTCATCCTACTCCGCAATAATCAAGTGTTAGAAGCTGAAACTGTCTCCTAACACCATGCAGTGAAAAGACTTACCTGAAGAACAAGGTCTGGATTTAAATCTTGCTGTTTCATTAGCTGTTTGACTTGTTTTCTCCGCTCTACCAGTTTCCGGATCTCTCTGGGCAAAATGCCCATATCTAAGTTTGGATCTGGCAACTCAGGGATGTGTTCTTGTTCCTCATCCTGAAAAACGTACAATAGAAAATTCAATTAAATTATGAATCTTTCCTGTATGAAGAAATCAATAATACATGAGCAGTTTCAAAAGGTGCTAATGTAAGTGTGATGGTACCAATCTGTAGTCCCAGTACTAGGGAGGCTGAGGCAGACAGAACATCATAAGGTCAAGGACAGCCTGGACCACATAACATGGATTACACAGTAAGTCCCTGCCTCAAAAATCAAAACCATAGCATAAACCACAAAGAACCCAACTAAGAAAAAGACCTGTGTGGTCATAAACCACTGGTGCCCCTGCTTGCAATTCCATCAACTTGTGTCACTGTCACTATTGCTCATACTTGTTACTTACACATTTAAATTTAATGTAAAAGAAAAGATCTCACAAACATGGAGCAATAGTTCTGGGAAAATTGTTGGTAACATACAAACGCTAAGATACACTTCTAATATTAAAAAAAAATAACCAGCAGCTAAATTTTTATAGCATTTGTACAACCAAACAAAAATGCTACAAAATGTTTCACAACAATTACTATAAATGTTTTTACTGTTAAAAACAAAGAAGTTCTATAGGTCATGACATTTCTAAAACTTAATATATATATGCACGTGTGCTTGCACACACACACACACACACACACACACACACACACACATACATACTCCTTAGCATTTATTGAGTACCTTTTACCTATAAATTGCTTTGCAATCACCAGAAGAATAGCAACATTTTAGAAAGGCAATCAGCAGTCATATTAAAATTTATAGCAGGAAAAAGCAGGGAAAGCATTAGGCCTTTTTTTTCCTCAAGCCTCCATTTATTCTATTAACAGGCTGCAAAAAACAGCCAGACACAGTTATCCTTTGAAAGATTCAAAATTAAAAATAAACCTTTTGGCTTAAAGCATGTCAAGTCAATGCCATTTGATAACCCAGCCTTTACAAAATACCTGATTTTATAAAGATCAATATCATAAAATGAACACCCTTACAATACTAATAGGGACCTATTGTTTTCCAATATAGAACATGACGATAGTGAACCTATTACAGAGAACTTCCACTGTATTTACAGCAACTAGAGAAGTCACATAAAAAGTAAACTGAGCTCTTGGCTTCTTGCTCTCACCCTGTCCTCTTGTCTAGCTAACCCCTCTCCCCATTCCCCTGCCCCTCTATCTCTAAAACTCAAGAGATCTGCCTGCTTCCGCTTCCTAAATTCTTGGATTAAAGGTTTGTGCCACCAGCACTGGGCTAAAAGTTCTTGATGTAGAAGTCTTAAAGCCCAAGTTTGATCACCAGAACACACAATGAAAAGAGGGGTAACTCATGAAAGTTGTTCTCTAACCTCCACACGGACATTTACATTGGCACACAAACAAAAATAATGAATTCTTTGTAAAGCCAACATGGTATTACACCCCTACTGCCCCAGTTGGGAGATGGGAGACTAAGGCAGATCCCAGGTGCTCACTAGCCAGCCACTCTAGCAAAAATGACAAGTTCCAGGTTCAGTGAGAGACCCTGTCTTAAAACTTCAGGTGACAGGGGAAGAGAGTGTAGTGGACTTTACAAATACATATAAACACAAACAGAGATGTACATACAAACATCCAGAAAGAGGAAAGAGGAAAAACTATGGTACTAACCCCTTTGGCCCTTTTCCCTTTTTTAAGGAATACTTTTAATATTGACTTCAAGAGCCCCTAGTTGAATACAAACCTCTGTAGCTTTCTGCACTTCTGAAGCAACTCTTTGTACTGTTGTAAAACAAATGTTAAATTCCTGAATGATAGAAGGATATAAACTGTTGAAATCCAGGAGCAAAATGAACTTGTCATAAAAACCTGAAACAAAAATGCCACATAATGTCAAAAAAGTCTAAGTGTCATCAAAATATCTCATTAGAAGTAGCATTTATAGAAATTATATACCGTCCCATGCTGGGAAATGAGAAGTCAATTACAAATCATAAAATGACTCAGATACCACTAAAACCAAAGATAACAGAAGAAAGGATGCAAAGACTGTCTATCTTGGGAACCATTGATAACCATCCTGCTTAAGTTCAGCCAAGAAAAAGATATATGAATGTCAGTAGAGGTACAATCCACCCTCTCTTCTTGAAAAGGATGAACAGAAAGCTACTATATTTCTTTAGGACATTCATAAAAGAACATTATCTTCACCTCAAGAAAAATCTGCTAATATAAATGTCCACTGAAACAGTAATAACTGCAAACATGTAAACAGTAATAACTGCAAACACACAATCCAACTTCTTCCTTCTGCTCCTCTGTGGTAGGCACTATCATGTCCTTCTCATAGAAAAGGAAACTAAGGTTAAAAGACATGAAATAGGCAGCACCTAAACCAATATCTAACACCAAAAGTATCACTCCTCATTACAACTAATAGAATTGCTTCTGTTAAAAAAAAATGTCTTCTCCTGTGTTACTTGATAAAATTCACATAAATGTGCATAGACATAACTATACTATTGAGCTATACATACTTGGAAACTAAGATGGTCTGAAAAATAAAGATGAACCTCTAAATATGACAACTCATCTTTCCCTTCTGGATAACAAAGAAAAGGTGCTCTCCTGCTAAATTTTAATCCAATGGTTATTTTATTTCTTTTAATATTGCTTTCCAAATTACCCACCCCTGGCATGTACAGGGCAAATACTCAGGTCAGTCTCACATAAAGAAGGAAAAATAGGTACATCTACTACATGACAAACAGCCATCTGTATATTGAAGCAGGGACTGAAACCAAATTTGAGCTACTGTGTATTTTTGTATCCTTTATAAGCTAAGCGTTTTCTAAACAGCTAGAGAAAGTAATATATATGTCTTTATATAGTCATAGATATTAAAATATAAGAAGTTTAAATTTCAAGGTATATAAGTAAACTGTATTTACAGACAGCAAAGAAATCATACTGTTTCATGTTTGGTAAACTAGGATTCACATGCATAAAAGTCATTAAGAGACTAGTTTGCTTACCTCCAAGATAAAACTAAGATCTAGTTTCTTAGGTCCAGCTCTATTTGAAGTTATTTCCTAATACAGTGGACCTCAATCCATCAGTTGAAACCCTTTTGGAGGTCAAATAACCCTTTTGCAGGGGTCACTTAAGACCATTGGAAAACACAGATATTTACATAATGATTTTAACAGTGGCAAAATTACAGTTATGAAGTAGCAACAAAAATAATTTTATGGTTGGGGGATACCATATGAGGAACTATATTAAAGGGTCACAGCATTAGGAGGGTTGAGAACTACTATCAATACCAGGTGCAAACCAATCTGCTATGAAGTCTTACCAACTTTGGGGTCTAAAACCAAGCCTCCAGCATAAGCTGCTTTCTTACGCCCTTTCTTGTATTTATTGATATCCCCATCAATTTCCTCATCTTCATCTCCCTATTTCAAACAGAAAGAGAGAATTACAATACTGGGTTACAAAAATATTTACTTTTACTTTAGCAGTCCTACCTATAGGGAAAGACTATTATTATTATTATTATTATTATTATCATAATGTGGTCATGGATCCAAATGAATAAAATACCAAGCATGGTAGTTTCTTAAGTAAATAACTGGTTTTATGATTTCTGTATTTAAATGTCTCAGAAATTTCATTTGGATGTTAAGGATATAGGCTAGCCTAGCTCTTTCAAACCCAACCCTGGTTTCCATTACCAGTAGCACATAAAACCAGGTGTGATGACACATACCTGTAATACCAGTATTTGGAAGGTAGAGCCAGGAGAATTATAAGTTCAAGGGCATCCTCGGCTATATAAAAAGTTAGAGGACAGCCTGAGCTATATTAGACCATGTCTTTTTAAAATTTCATTTTGAAATCAATAGATATTAAAACTTTTTGCATTACATAAAATTTGGAATTATAGCCGGGCAGTGGTGGCGCATGCCTTTAATCCCAGCACTTGGGAGGCAGAGGCAGGCGGATTTCTGAGTTCAAGGCCAGCCTGGTCTACAGAGTGAGTTCCAGGACAGCCAGGACTACACAGAGAAACCCTGTCTCAAAAAACCAAAAAAAAAAAAAAAATGGAATTATAACGGAGTTTTATTAAGTTCACTACTCTAATATTCATGATATAAAAGCAATCCTCTTATCTCAATCTCCCAAGTAGCTAGGACTCCAGTAAGTATCCTCATGTATGGTTTATTGTCATATTTATTAGTATAGATTCCTTAAAATGAGTAAGCCCACAAAATGAAAAATCTATTTCCAAGTAGTTAACTAACAGCCAACATTCAATACCTCTGCAGAAGTCCAACAGATCTAAAGTAAAATTTGCTATACCATATTCAATAATGTGCATAAAACAAACTATAAGAAACCAAGTCACATTTAACATTCAATCCAAATTCTTAATTAACTATCAGTGCTGATAAAATGGCAAATAGAAAAAAATAATATTAGTTCCAAAGTCACAGAAGCCACTTCAGAAACCTGATTGGTGTGGTCATAACCATACTAGTAACAGGTTGTATGCCCCCAAATATGAAGTCCAAAATCTAAAACTTTTTAAGTGTTAACATGAGTCTACAAGCAAAATTTAGCACATGTGACCACATGTGACAGGTGGTTAAAATATTATAAGATTACCTTCAGGTAATACACACATAGATACATACATATGTACATACGTGAAATATAAATGAATTTAGTGTTTGGACACACATTCTCACCCCAAGATTTCCCATTACACATAAATAAATGTTTCAAAATAAAATACATAAATCTAAAACACTTCCAATTCCAAACATTTTGTATTAGGGATATTCAACATACATATGAATATACATATACATATAGTACAAAACAAACATAAAAGCTCAAAGGTTAAAGCTACAAAAGGCTTAACTAACATTTAGCTTTGAGTAAATCTGAGTGAGGGCAAATACTTTCCATATATGGTAATGCATCAAAGAAGTCTATTGAAGTACCCAAAGACATTTTACAAATAATATTGACATTACAGAAAAAGTAGAGAAGAAAACAATCATTTAAACACAATGCAGAAAACTTGAGAGTGATCACAGTTTAGAGGGGATTAATTATTTTAGAAGTATATGTTAAAGCAATATTTTTAAAGGCTATCTAGGTAATAAAACAAAAAGATAAGAAAAGGCAAGGTACTATATAATTTTGGACCCACCATTTTTTGCTGAGGTTTTCTGAAAATCTGCTTGTCTGGCACAATATAGTTGTTTTCATAAAATGCATGAAGCAACAAAAACTCGTTTCGTTCAGATCGTCCACCCATCAGTGTCCTAGACTATTAAACAGAATTTTTAAAATTCTGACTACAAAATAGTCACAAACAAAAGCAGCTTTGAGTCAGTTAATTTAACCATAGCTCCTTCAGCTACTTACAGTAACCAAGGTTGCTTTTACTAAATTATTTACTTCTAACCTTCTCTTTAAGCATTTAGGGGATAAAGGGAGCTTCAAATACTGACTGTGTGGCTATTTCCTTAGTCCAAAATATATCACTCCACCAGAAACATCCAGATGTTAAAAGATAAAATCCTTATGTTCACCCAAATCTCCACATACTGCACCTGGCATTCCTCCCTTTCTCCCAACCAGTTCTCCTTTTACAAAAGAAGCCCAGCTTTCAGAATCCCAATTCCTCATTTTATAAGCATGCATTTAGACTCATTATCATATAACAACTACCCCAAGCAAACACTGAATCCAACAGGAAATGCTTTTTCCCCATTTCTAAGTTAAATTTACCATAATGTTCCCAGCGATGTTAGTGATCTGCAATGCTAATGGAAGAACATTTAGCTCACACATGATCTGCAAAATGAATCTGGCATCTTTCCAGATATGTTCCAACAGGTACAACAGATGAGAAGATTCACTATACAGAAAAGTAAGAATGAAACAGAATCAAGTAATTAAAAGAAACAATGACTATAATCAGAACTTAAAATATTACAAGGAATTTTTTGATGTAACTTCAGAGCAATGGAACCTTGGCTTTGAAAACTGTTTAAAATAAGGTCACTATATAATTAGAAATGTATTGACACCAGTCCTAGTACCCTTCTCAACAACAAAAAAGAAATCCATACCATGAAATTATGTGTTAACTATAGCCAAAGATTTACCTAGTGTTAATTGTAACCTAAAACTATCTAAATCATTTTATTCATTCAATCAAGTAATTATATATTACATGCCTACTATATCTGAGGCACTCATTGGCTATAACCAAAGACACAAATTCCAGTCCTTGTGAGGGAGACAGAGTATAAAAAAAGAAAAATAAATAGGTAATATTTATACAATGGTAAGTATTGAGTACAAACAAAAGGGCAGGAAACAAAGAAAATATAAACTATCAGGGGAAGAAACTGAATTTTTACTTAAAGAACAAGGGAAATGTCACTGAAAATAAAGACCAAGAAGTGACAGAGCAAGCCTTATAGATGGGGACTTTAGGGAAGAGCATTACAAATAAAAGCACAAAGACTCTGAGTGAAGTACCAATCTAGCATTTGCAGAAACACAATGGAAGTTGATATGGCTAGATCATAGAATAATGGAGACAGCAGTAGAATAGCAGAAAATCAATAGCACAAAGACACGCTGTATACAACCTAGTAAGCTAATATATAGACTTTACTCTGAATAAAGCAGTATCTACCGCTACCGAGAAATTTTAATCAGACTTAATTTTAGCAGGATTACTCTGATCCTATATTATGAAGAGACCTGAAGAAGGCAACAAAATTAGTATATAAACACACTGCTATGGCTTGGCACAGTTTGTCTCTCCAGAAACTGAGGAGTAGGATTTTATCTACTATAAAGTACTATGGGGCATATGGGGATAGAACCTCAGACCTTGCTTGGTGTTACTAGCATCATCAGCTACCCATGAAATACTGTAAGGCTAAAAACAAGAATTTGAAGGTATTTAAAGATGAAGCCTTTGAGTCTCCTCGGCTGAAAACTGGTGTCTTGGAAAAGAGGTTAGTAGATGATATAGACATGCATGCACTTTTCAGACCTAATGATAAGAGATACAACAATATAACTCTTATCAGGAGATCATCAATCTTGAACCGCCAGAATCATACACCAAAACAAACCTTTTTCATTTTTATCTTAGCTAATATGTGGCATTATGCTGTTGCCAACAGAAAATGGGCTAAGACA